GTCCTTTTTGGCAGAAGAATCACCGCTTGTGTTTATGACAAATGAGCTTTACGCTGAAGCCAGGTGTGGATACTTTAGGTCTTAACTGGCCATGTACAGGGATTTACAAGTTCATAAATTTTATAGCTGGGGAGGATTAACTATGCTAGGACATAAATTTAAGATTTTTTTTTTTTTTAACCTCACCTAGTTTCCATCAAACACAATGTAAAATATTGAAAATATTGAAAGGGCAATTTCATGATAAAAGCCAGTTAGGAAGGATGTCATCATGTGTCACGCACAGCTTGGCATGTGGACAAGGAACAAAACCTTCACCCTAAGGAAATATGAATACTTAACAAGTGAGAAAGATGGGACCAAGCAGAAGAAGGGGAAAAGCATCCAACAAACAAGGCTACTGTTTCATCCTGAACTTTGCAAGGAAGAAACAGCCCTAAATTTTAAAGGTAATTCCATTAGCCTCACCAATGTTCCTCATAATCAACATCTGAACGTTAATTAGGAGCACAGAGCCATGCAGCAGAGCTGTCCCTGTGCAATAAGCTGCAATGCTGCAGCAGCAAACCCTGCCTTTAGCTAGCATGCATAAATAAACAGAATTAATAACTATCCAAGTGTGGACGGGTGACTTGATCCGTTTCGATTAGATGCAGCTCAGCCTGGGGCCTTTGTGTTATTTAAAACGTGTTCATCATGTTTAATTAAAAACCTAATAAACTAGCGGTTCTTCTACTTCTGATTTGTATTTCTCTCTTTTGTGAGACCTATTGATTTTGGTGGTGCTCCTGATAAAGAGGCAGAAAAAAGCCACAAACTGAGTGAAGAGCCCAAAATGCAGGATCACGTCAGATGACTGTTCCATAAGCAACAGCCAGAGATGGACTGTTTCCTTCACCCTCCCCAATACACAAAGCATGTCAGAACTGAAATTTCATTAATTCATTTCATTAAATTAACCAAATGCAACTTTTGGAGATGGTGGTCATTTGATCGATTATTTATCTGGAAGGGAAGTGTGCACAAACCGTTGTTTTTTTGACCTAGAGCAAGAATAAGTGCAGAACTGTGCTGAACATCACTGAAATTATACATGTTTTCATTGCTGGAAAGCTGTTCTCAGAGATTTTATCCCAAAATGGTGGAAATTAGATAAGAACAATTATTCCTGTGAAAAAGTTCCACTGAATCCACACTATAAAACTGGGGGTCTTAAATTCAACCTACACTGAACAGAGTTAGAGACTCTAGCTCCCCATTTGGGATTTCTGGAAAGTAAAATATCCAAGTTTGGGTATCCTAAGGACAGGAGCTGGTGGTTTAGCTTTGCTGCAGCTGTACTTACTTCTTCAAAGACAGTGCTGGATATTCTAAAATCAAACTTGAGTGCCAAAATTCAATGATAACATGTGCTGTGTCACCGCCAATCTCAGGATTATTATTTTAAAATACAGTTCTAAGGGCTGGAGTTCTCCAAATAAGAGGAGAAATGCTCCCGGGCCTTTCCGTGGGCCAGCAGGCCCTCCAAAAATCTCATTTTAAACATTCAGATGGAGCTGTGAGATCACAGCCTAAGAAATGCTCGAGTTCTACATTTCTGTGTTTTAATAACAATATCTAAAACCCGATGTTTTGTACTTGCATGATTGTTTGACAGCTACAATAAGTGTCTGTACAAGAGAGTCACACAACCACAAGAAACAAAGCTACTTAATTACATTTCTCTTCCTTTAAAAGTCCTATAGCGCATATGTACGTTTGCCTTTTGCAATACGCATCTCTGCTTCCCCACCGACAAGCTGTAAACAAGCGTTTCAGAACACACTTTCAATGTCATTCCTGAAATATTCCCAACTGGAAAAGCTTCTGGGATTTCTGACAACGGGGCGATGCTGCAGCGTGTTTTCTAGGCCGCGCAAGCCTAGAAGGCGCCTAAACATGGCTTTACCCGGCCACTGCTCTATGCATCGGCACTGATGTTGTATGTTATACGATGCCATATTGAGCGGCACTGCAGGAGCTGGCCCCTTCTCCCCAATCCGTGCCGGGGACGGATGCTGCCAGGCAGAGCGGCAGCCTCTGGAGCTGCTGCTCGGGCTGCCGGGTCCCTGGAGCAGCTTCTTTGGCCACTTGCAGGAGGCATCAACCACCAGACTGTGGTTTGACACCCTACAAGGAAAGAGGGTTAAAAATAGCCACGGATGTAGGAACACTCAGGAGGCAACAAACCTCCATCTTCATATCTACAAGGGCCTTCCGTTTAATTCAATCACTGGTAAATTTTATCCTCTGTTTAATTCGATCTAAACCTCTGTAACCACATCCTCAGTAGGAAAAATAACATAACTTCTATCCTTTATTTTAATTAGTTCTCATCATGCTGCAGGCAGCTCTTTCTAGATAGCTTGGCCAGAGCCAACAGAAAGCTGTTTTAATTAAAAAAAAGGCCTTAATTTTTGGACGACACATAGTCCTCAGAAAAAAAATAAGCATCAACTGCGATGAATCTGAGTTATTCTTGCCGTGCTATGTCCTAAGCACTAGGAATGCTCCACAGAGCTGAGCTGGGCGCAGACCTGCTGTCGTGTGCACGACAAAACCAACCACTTCAACCAGCCAGCCCAAGTGTGGAAGGACAACGTCTCCCCATCAGCCCGACCCCCTTCTCGGCTAACGAGGCTGGAAGGTGGCCTGTTATCCACCTATTTAAACAAGCTGGAAAAGCTGAGTGAGTAGATATTCACCAGCCACGACAAGAGGCTAATTCTTTGTCCAGCAGAATCAGCGATGTGGTTTAAACTTGGGTCTTCCACTTCTGAGAAGTGTCTTTCTTCCAAGTGACCAGCCAGTCACAGGCTCCCTCTTGCCCATCACTTTCCATCACAAGAGGGGGACCCACTTAGGGTTTGCACCAAAATTCAGTAGGTTAGGCCAAGCTTTGGATTTGACACATCTGTGTAGTGGTTTCTTATCAAAACAGTTCATCACGGAGCTCCCCCAGAGCACCAGCACCCTACTCACGATGCACAAAGTCCCTCTCCATGTGGAGAACCAACAATGAGGAGAAACCTCTTTGCAAGCCCCGCAGTGCTCGGGAGCTGCTGTAATCTGGAGCTTTCTGCAAAATGCCAGACAAACACGCTCTCAAGTTCTGCAGGTGGGGCTTAGCTGTCTATAAATAAGAGCACAGTTTGATCTTTGGCTCTGCTGAGGCTGGAAGGCTGCCAAATACTTCTGGAAACTTGGATGGAACAGAGCAAGAACAAATATGATAAAACGCACTGAGACTGACAATGATTTATAGAGTTAATGATCATCATTCTGTACTCACAGAGCTTGCACTTTCGGAGTAATGTTTCACTTGCCAATAAACTTGGCTTTTCTGTAATCATAAAGCTCCATTCTCTATCATTTAACATGGGCTGCTGACCAACCCCCTGAGCTGCAGCAGCAGCTCTGCCACTCTCACAGTGCAGCTTATGGAGAAAACAAGGAGAGCTGCAAAAATCTTCCACAAAGACCAGTTGCCACTGTACAATTAACCTCTTCAGCGAAACATCATCAACTATTTTAAGGAAAGAATGGATGCCGAAAAAGAAAAAAAACAAACCCAGCAGACATACAAACACGCTAAGGAGGGAACGCAGCCCTTCCAAGATGTTTGTTCCCACATTTAGTGCTCTAAACAAAATGCCCTTTTATTGTAAACCTTGTTAAGAAACTGTGTTCTAGGCTTTTTACTCATCCTCGCCTTCCTGTGCTATGTTAGCACATGATCCTCTCTCCCTCCATGACTTCAGGCAGTCTCCTTCCCACAAAGGTTCTTTGTTGGATTATAGAATAAGCCTCCTTTAATACAGGTTTATATGGCCTAGCCTAACCTAGCGCTTGCAAAAACTAGGTTTATGTAAAGAGAAAGGAAGCACACACGATCACTGGAAAACTCCCCAAAGGACTTTCAAAGCAACAGGAAAAAAAAAAAAAAAAAAAAAAAAAAAAAAAAAAAGAGAGAGAGAGAGAAAAATGCTGGAAGACCTGGAAAATTTTAATGATTATTACTCTGTTCTGCTTTACCGCACCAAGGCCAGCTTAAGCAGCAGTTGAACAAGGCTACAAGATTTATTTTTAATTAACTTACTAACTTGTAAGTTAATTCAAAAAAATACTTTGTCCTGTCTCACTTTTATTGTGAATGAAGCCTTTCATGATATGAGAAGACTTGTCATTCAGATACGTGGTAGGTAAATACGACAAGCTGTATTTCTATCTCCATTTATTCCAAAGTGGAATCCAGGAGGGATAAAGCTTTTCAGATTGTACAATGCAGAAACTGTAAGATGGCTGAGGCTCCTCAGTAATGCATATTTTATCATAGCCAAATTCCAATCCTCTGATTTGCTATTTTAGGGCACACTGTTGCCTAACTATTGAGCTAGGAAATACAACATTTATTCTATTTTCACAAAACCAGACAAACTCAGTCAGCTTACTCAAGAGGCACTGTCTTCTCGCCTGTTATTTCTCACGTAAGTCAATTTTGTTAAGAAGCACAATTAACGTCAGCACGGATGAAAACATTAAATGCTTTTAGGATGTGATCGAGATGAAGCTGCTCGGCATTTCTCTTCTCCTGGCTACTAAAATTACACTAATGTCTCACTTTTTGTAGTCAAGTACCTGTGTGCTAACTTAACCTGCGAGGTCTGAGGAGCCAAGGGCTGCGCAGCCCTGCTTGGGTTCAAACTGCTGCCAGAAACCCCAAGTTCTGCATCGGATCCAAACGCTGCTATTTCATTCAAAAAATCTCTATTTACAAGAAATCAGCAGTATATTCTGTATGCAGAACAAGAGTTCACTAACTCAGAGTCAGACAAAAATCTACCCTGTGGAGCAAATAAGGATTCCATAAAAATGATCTTCTAGGGAAAAAGAAGAAGAAAGGAAAAGAAAAGGCAGGCGGAAGCCACTCTGAGGCTCACGGGAATAATTAGTTTTCCTACCACTTCATCTTCAGTCCAACACTTCTCAATCAGCTTGGGCACAGGTTTCTTCACCAGCCGCTGCAGGGCCTTTCCAGCATCGTAGTTACTTTCATGTAGCTGAAAAATAAAGCAGACAAATACATCATTTGATGGAAATGGCAGTGATCTGATATCAAAGGAAAAAAAACAATAAAAGGGACCAAAGGAGATGTTCTACATCTAATTATTTTTACTGTTGATATATCAAGTGAAATTTAAACAACCTGAAGGGTAATTTCAGTTTTATTAGTAGAAGAGGCAGCATTAAAAAACACACACACTTTCTTCTTCCTTCCTGAATTTCTCCCAGAAGACATCTGAAGTCATAAAGCACTGGAGACTTTGTGGTTAATTTAAAAAATATATTTTTTCCACACATTAGAAACTGCAAGTAATTTTTTAAAAGTTCCAACATGACATATTTTTCAAAAGGTGTTTATTTTATGCAGCAATGTCTTACTCCCTTTAATATAATCGAGAGGAAGAACTAATAATTGGGAGCGAGGGATTGTGAGCTATGGGATGTGAAGCCTCCCCATCCACCAGGTTCTGATTAATTGCTTTGCAAAGATGCACAAGTTGTTGGAAAACAAGTGTGGAGAAGGAAAATAAAACCTCCAGAAATAGCTGCAGGAGTTCATAAAAGCAACTAGGGATGTCTAATTTGGCATCACTGCTTCAGCTGCTCATGTTCTATTATGTACCTTACTTTTTTACCATAAAAGCGGGTGTCTATATGATCAAAAGTTCTCTGAAGCAGACATTTAAATCAGGGTGAGGTTTAAACGCAATCAAGAGTGGGAAAAAAAAACTTATTTAACAATGAATCCATGAGAAATCCTAGTGCTTAGCTCTTGACAGAAAACATTGAGCAAACTATAGATTTATTAGCTGTTTAAGTAGAGTGGAATTTTTAGATGAGAAGGACTAATCAGGAACTTACCTGGTGTCTTCTGAAAGCTACCAAAAATAAAGGCCATTGCTGGGGTGAAAATAAGCTAAGTATCTTCCCACATCCGGAAGAGAAAATTGATCTGCATGGAAGTGTCTCCATATGCCCAAGCATCAGGTTTTCTAACCAAGGACTATAAAACACAGCAAAACTCCCAAGCTACTGGCTAACACCACGAGCTTCATAGGTGCTGGGCATTTTATTTAGACAAATGCAGATGACCAGAACAAGCTTCCTCACATCGATCCTATCGTGATTGCCCTTCCACACCACAGAACCTTTGCAGGGCTCGCGAGACCCTTCTCCTCGGTGCCAGACCCACTTCTGATGGTCCTCAGAGAGCAGCCCAACTGCTGCTACAGCCCTTGAACTCCTCCCAAGATGGATGAACTGGACAGGGACCAAGAGAGAATTACAGAATAGGGACAACACACTAACTACTCTGCACTATTAACACATAAGTTATAACAAACTCTGGTTACAGGAGAAAACCTTCATTTTTCTTGTGTCAACTCAATTTTTAGAACAGAATTCCGCTTCAAATTAAATTAGCATGAGATGACTTTCCTTCTGCTGCTCACTTCAGCTATTTATAACTTTCCACCCATTCCTAAATACCAACTCCGTCCATTTGACAATGGCTGGATCCCTCTACCCTGGGGCCACCTCCTAACAATACTGTCTTGTCCCTGAATTCCTCCTTTTGTCTGGTCACATCATGTCTCCTCTCCGAGGGAGAGCCTTCTGGGCCAGGAGAACTTGGATTTGTCCTGCATTCTTCCAGCATCCAGGAAGCAAAAACTGGAGACTCTCCAGAACTCCAAGGAAATTATTCAGATTTATTTCTGCTAGCTCTGGGTCTGTCATTTCTATTAGAACACTAAGAAATCTGAATCAAGGTAGAAGGTAACATATTTTAAATATACTTATATATAAAAATGTATAATTTTCATATTTATAACCATTGTGTATATTAAAATATAGCTTCTTAAATCCCAAGGAACAGGGGTCTATCATCCCAGGGCACTTGATGAAATGCTGGTCTTTGGGTACCACATCTCACAGCGCTCAGTTTTCCCATCCATTTTATTAGTGCCTTGGCTTTCTGGTCATGGATGCCGTAGGAGGAGCCGGGACAGTCCATAAAGCTAATTCATCTGTAGTGCAAAGTACCTGGAAATTAATTTTTCTTTAGTAATGTCCTCATACATAAACCACAATGTTTTAAAAATAATGGCTGATTTATTCCATTTGCCAGCCAACTTTCCGCTCTATGTAATTGGAAGCCTCCGTGATAACAGCTAAAGAGCTAAGTCTCCAGAAAAAAAGAAAAGGTACTAAATGCATCTAAACACCTAAAACAGACAGTCTGAGGTCCAAAGTAGTCATACAAATCATAAATCCTATGAAATAAGGATAAGTCATAAATCATATCCTTATACTAATTCTCATATCATCAGCTCAAGATCTAATGAAGGTGCTCTCCCATCTTCACTCAGTTACTGGGGCATTTAAAATTTATTTATACTTAAAGGACATCTGTTAAGAAGAGCAAAATGCCACTGAAAATAAAAACTTGTTGCTGAGTAAAGCCCTCCAAACACTAGAGAGGAGTTTTTAGAATTGGCTGCTATGGTTTAGAATAAAGCAGCTGCCTGAACTTTACTTCTTCCGTACTGGCAGCTAAAGTACGGATCCTGTAAGGGATGTTACTGCAATGAAATACGAGCTTGGTAACATAATGTGAAAAAAAGGGCAGAAAATTAAGTCGGAATCCCGTTCTGCTCATTTTTGGCTGTCTACATGGCACATACAGGAAGGTTATTAAATACAGTCCATGTGACAACTACAACAGTGGCCTGCACCTTCCCGGAATAATCACGGAAAACAAGGCCTCAGCTTCCCAAATGATTTCCAGCCTTCCTGCTGCCCCTTCTCCAGCTCTGATCCCTGCAAGCTGCTGCTGATGGATGCATTAACGCGCCCGGGCCATGGGGAGCACCCCACACTGCTGGAAGGCAGCGAGATGCATCACCCGGCATCGCTCAGCAGCGGCCACCGCTTTCAAGTGCGGCTCCACAGGTAAAAACATCCTCGTGTACAACAGGGTGCTGGCTTGGAAATCTGCCTCTGCTGCCCACAGCAGTGTCAGCTCCCACGACGGAGCCTCCGTGCAGATGAAATGAAGCTTTAGGGCCATCCTTCATAAGCCATGAGCTAAATGGAAAGACAAGGAGGGCAGTCGCGCTGTGCCAGGGCTTGTGGCCAACATTCAAACACCACTACTAACTTTAAAATCAGTTTTATCCCCTTTTGCAAGCTTTCTGTGCTATGCAATGCCTACTTAAAGGCACAAAAAACGAAGTTGCCTTTTCTAGCAGGGCTGCATTATTTTTTGCCTTGTTTTTACTCTGGGGAGAGACGCATCTGAAAACAGAAAGGGCTATTTGCTTTGCCAGCTCACCTAGCGAGTGCTCTCTGTGCACGGTACATTTTCATTTAAGAAACTGCATGTCCAGTGGAACGTTGCTTCTGTTTGGTCTCCCTTCTGTTCTCTCCCAAAACACACAGTGAGGCCCAAGCCTCTTGGTAGCTTGGAGAGAACCTTTATTTTGCCTCAAGAACAACCCGTGTTTTTTTCCCTGGTAACCCTAGTGTGCAAACGGTTGGATCCATAAATCCTCAGACAGGCTCTGGAAGAGCAGGCTGCACCAAGAGGCAACTGCACTGGTTCCCGATGCGCAGAGCAGCCAGCAGGACTGCCCCAAATCGCCAACAGAAAAGCCCAGCATTAACTCCTGACCAACCAACTACATTAAGAACAACCACAAAACCCAATGGCATAAAAGTGAACGAAGGACCATGTAAAAAAAAAAAAAAAAAAGTGAGACTGCAAGTCCTGAGACAAGTTTAGAGCCTCATGAATAAAAATTTGACTTTTCACAAGAAAAAAAATGCTTTGATTCCTTTCAGGAGTAGGAAAATGCAGCAAAAGAAAAAATATTATTTTGTGTAAGTGCCAGAGTTAAATTTATTTCCTTTAAGCTGGCTGATGGATCATTCTCTGCTTATTACTTTCAGTCATTTAATATATATAAGCACTCTATTGGCAAGCAACTTGAACATATAAATAACAGCTAATGATGACTGCCTGCGGTTTAATTAACTTCTGGTTGAACTTTTCAAGGTATTGCTATAAACACAGGATTACTACCCTGTCATCTAGAGAATCATTGTTCTTCCCATTAACCCTGCCATCCCAATTCTGAACTCTTCTGACAATACGGAGGCACAAAACTGCAACTAAAGCACTCAAGGCAAATGTACCCGAACAAAGAAAATATCACTCTGGCATCGCAGGTTTTTAAATTAAACAAAAATTCTTCATGTGCACATGTGTAGCAACCTCATTTATACTGCAATGGTCGTTAAAGAACCCTGGATTGAGGCGAGTGATTAGCACGAGGGCTGTGCAGCACCACGAGCTTCCAAGTTGCTGCTCCGGCTCCTCGGCTGCGCTGCCATTTTCTGCCTGCGTGATGCTGCAAATAAATCCTCCTCTTGGCATGGCTCAGCTGTCAGGCACCCCTGCTCCGTAATGAACCCATGAATTACATCCTGCAGCTCTGACATCTCTGGGCTCGCTCATCAAAATATTGTTCTTCAATTGTAATTTATAACTTAATTTAAATGTCCCTTTTACTGTGACCTTTTTGGGTCGGCATGGCATTGCATCTGGCAGCTTCTGCTTCAGCAAGGCATCCTTTTGCAATTACACTCATTATGATCTCCATTGAAAAGCCCATCTGAGCTAGGCTGCATCCCTACTACAATATTAAATAATTGCAGTCCATTAAGAGCACTGTTAGATTCCAGAGCCTTTTTGTCTAAGGAAAAATTGCTACTATACGGTGACAAAGCACTGCTGAAGTACTTTGCAATCTATGCAGAAAGGCCAATAAACACAGAAGGGAGTGTTCAGCCAGCATCAGCTTTCCTGGGGATGCAGACACATCCAGGATTTCTGATTCTAACGCCAGAACTCGGGAATTCTGCAGCTCAAGCGCTGGCTCTTCCCCTGAGCTATGACTGGCCGTGAACAAATGCTGTCACTAGTCAGGGGCTATAAACAGGGATATAAAGTCGACCCACCAAACATGCAGATTCTGCCAATACTGCAAGATCATTTTAAGCTTCAAGTAATACAAATGAACCAAAAGAATTTCTTTTCACCCCTGTCAACCAAGATACTTCATGGAATCACCAAGCAAGATGCCATTAGCCTGCTAACACACAGGAAATATTTACTAAACATCCCTATCTAAGTACTAGTTACTCTAACCTATGCAGGTGTAAGGTTATGGACCTTAATGAAGGATTTACTGACTCATCTTCCCCCCTCTCCACTATGTCTAATGTAGGTTAAGTTTCTATATAACTCTAATGACAATAAAACAATGTGGATGCTAACGATGCAGGTTAGGGAGAAGATGCTTTTAGTTGCACTGATTTTCAAGCCCTGGACTTGCCAAGGTCCAGCCCAGCACAGACTGCAGGGCCCGGAGCACAGTCTGCTGCAAACACAGCACAGTGTCACTGTGCTAGGGCGCAGGAACCTGCAGGAAAAAGCACCAGGCTTGCTGCAGCCTTTTGCGAAACACTCTGAAAACCAGATCCTTTGCATATTGCAAAAGCAACTGCAAGAAGTAGCAATGACGGTTGGGGCTTTGGCCCTTTTTATCTGCCTTTTTCGACAGTTCCTCTAGAAAGCTTTCTTAAATATTGAATTGTCTTATAACTAAAGCACAGGAAGTTTTCAAGGATAAGGACGAGTGGAAATACAAAGAGGCAGAACCATCTTCTGCACTAGAAGTGTCTTCATCTTCCAAGAAGCCCAGGCAGGAGCAATGGCCCCTGAAGTGCTAGGCCACTTCGTTTGAACCAGGAGAGTAGCTGTTAAGGAAGGCTCATACAAAAGGAAAACTAGTAATAAGAAGAAATGCTAGTGTGTATTTAAAGAGTTTTCATATGCTTTCAACTTTGTAGTTAATGAACAAGAAAATCTGGTCTAAGGGCAAGTTAAAACAGGGAATAATTTGTCCGGGTGACATCTTACTTAGAACTGAATTTCCATAAACTGATATTACCCTGTCAGATTTGCCACTCGTAATGACACATTCCCATGTAATAGTGAGTCAGGAGAAGGCAGAACAGTGCTATTAGTCAAGGAAAGTGCTGTTGTTTCCTCTTTCTTCCATATTGCAGCACGTGGGCTGAAGCAGGGGCATTTTCTGACTCCATAAGGATAAACAGTCGCTGGCTGTTGGATTCCCCAAGCAAAAATAATATGCTCATCAAAATGACAAGAACTCTGAGATTCACTCTTACGGACAGAGCTTGCAGACTGTCATTGCTCATTTCTCTTCCAGGGTCTGCTGCTTTATGTAACTGAGCCCCACGCTGTTGTATTAATGCTGGATATCCCCGTCGTGGGGCTCATGGCCTGGGATGGAGGCAGAGCTTCATGAGAAACCCCAGGCAGGCTGAGCTGCTTTTGGTACGGAGGGTAAAAAGGGTTTTGAACCAGATCTGATCTTAAATCAGAGTTCTGGAGGAGAAAAGGAAAGGAGTAGAAAGGGAGAGGAAACTTCCATATCAAAAGTTACCCCCCAAGCCTCATTCAACCACACTTGTCAGCAGCAACAGCTATGGTCAATTGGTTTACAGTCAATATTTCCCATGTTGAGATTTTTCCACAGATTGGCAGACACAGGAAACCAGTGCTCTACCACCAAGCAGGCAGCAACTTAGGCTTCTTTTAAGTGTTATTTTTCAAACATTTCTGTCCTCTGAAGTTACGGTTGTGGTATCAAACGCTTCTTTTGACAGGTCTAATCTGCAGAGCTTACCAGCTTTACCTCTTGTGACAGGCCTTCACCTTGCCAATTCTTCCTGCCTTTGTACACTTAAAATCTAAATATAACCTCCCAGCATCCTGGAAAGTTGCTCCCACTTCTGCCAAGGATGCAGCCCCGATTCCCGAGGGGTTCTAACATTATCCCTATGGAGCTAAGGCAGACGATAGCAGAGGAAGAGGCCCTTGCTCAGCCAGCCCCTCCACAGATGCTGGTCTGCCACAATCAGCTGGGTCCAGCGGCAGCCTCGGGTCCCACCGAATGCGGTACCCAGACGTGCAGCGGAGCACCTCGTTCAGCCAGTTCCGTGCAGCTCCATTTGGTTTATTATGGATGAAAAGCACATGCAGAGCGGGGAGGGATCCAAGGCAGCTGCAATATTCATCAGCCCACTACAGAGGTGGGGTTTTAAGAAGAAAGAGGTTTTCTCAGCCATCACTCCATAACTTGGCACTGAAGTTCTGCATTTCAGAATTTTTGTAACTTATAGGAGATGTATGTAAAGTTATGGCACCTTAGGTGATGGCTAGAGCCATGTTGTGATTCCAAAAATATGTTTTATCTGCTAAATATTTTATGGGCGCTATATGCCTTCAGTAGTTAAGAAATCAAGGCTGTTTTTCCATACAGTAGTTCCATATACTTACTGTATTGAGTGCATTAAGTGTAGTGTCATCACGGGAGGCTGCAACACAACCATCTTCTGTGGACCCTCCATCACACATGCCTGCAAAAGCTGCCATGCTCCTTTATAGTTTGAGGAGGAAAAAGGAAAACATAAAAACATGGGTTTAAATGCTTCAATTCGACTGATGTATGCTTGCAATACACAAGCAGCATCTTCCCACCATAAATCAAAGATAGCAGGGCCTCGCAATACCACCGATACAAGTAAAATGAAGCACCACACAACTGTTACCATTTATTATGCAAACTTGAGTCACTGAGTAAGTCATAATTCAGGCCTAAAAAGCAATCTGAGTGGGTTTTATCAATTAAAGAAATCCTCACGGCAGTAGTGACAAAACCTGGTCAGGATTAGGAGCGAGACGCTGCACGCATGAGGACGGCGGCGCTGGAAACAGCGCACCACTCATCACACTTAGGTTTCACCATGCTAGAAAACCTTCAGATATTTCCCACAATGCTCACTTTCCACAAAGCAGAAGTGATTATTTACTCCCAAAGTGCTGCGCCACCCACTAGCACAGCACTTGGTATTTCTTTGTCTGCTTAACCTACCAGGCATACCAGGAATCTCCATAAACCTCAGATACAAACTACAGCTCACTGAAGAGAAATATTTGGTCCTTGAAGGAATCCCATGCTTTCAGGGTTAATCTACTCACAGCAGTTACTGCCCTTTTTAGCCGAAACACCCTCAATATTTTTACCTTTGTGCTACTGGCTTTGTATTTTCAATAGCAAAGTACCAGCCAGTGGAGATGCTCTGTGGTGGCCTGACATCAAACCAGAGCATCCTTGTATCAAGCTGGCTGTGTCAGTTTGTCTTTGACATCTGTGTAAGAGTGGGGAAGAGCACGGAGGGGTGACCATTGCACGCAGGTGTCTGCCCCTTTTTCTACCAGGGCACTTTGAAGTCGCCTCTAATTACCTGGCTGCCCTGAGGTACATGAGCAAGTCACAGTCGTTGACTCCTGGCATCCACACAAGCTCCTCATGCTGCGTCACAGTGTCTCCGTCCGGGGAAGGGAACGGCTGCAGATCGGGCAGTTTAGCCTGGAAGAAAGGAACAGCAGGTAGGCACAAGCGTGGGGAAGGTTTCCATTGCCTGGGATTTTCCTCCCTGACGGAAAGGACCGGCCAACTGCTGGTGAAGGGATTTAAGCCACGTTTCTGAACTTTATGGGAAACTAGGAAGGCTCAGCCACCTGCTAAAGCCCTTCTGTATATACACACACCAAGCACAATCAGCTCCCTAGAAGTACCACAGCTTAGAATTAAACCATTTTAAATGGTTTAATGTAGTCCTGTATTATACAGAAATCAAAACTGGGGGCAGTTTACCCTCAGAGAGGCACGAACACAGCTGGCTCAGGAGCTGTGCTCCACTTCAATCCTTCAGTCAAAACCCACACGTTTACTTTACAAAGAAGCCCTCACTAAATTATTAAAACCCCAAAGTGAACCAAAGACATTTCCTGAAAGTGAGAGCACTCTGTGAAAGGAGCTCTGAGTTCAAACTCAGATGAGCATCAAATTGTATCTGGAGACTTAATTAGCATCTTTAGTCGCCTACTGCAGTGGGCTACGGTAGCTGAGAGCCTCTTCGGAAACAGTTTTTAAAAGCCCTGTAATTACCTCCCATACTTACAACACTAAACATATTTGAGAGGCAACATTTAGACATAACCAGTAATTACAAGTCATAGGTTCAGATGTCTTTCATGTCCTGCTCTTTAATCTGTACTTTCTCTCACTTCTTCCCTGGGAAAACGTGTGTGTCATTGAGCAACTCTTCTGAGGAAGGATAAGCAATATTCTCATCAAGGGATGAGAAATTTCATCAAGAACGAACCAAGCAGCAAGCTCCTCAAGATGAGATTTCTACAAGAGCTAAAGCACTCATCCTTCTGTACCCTAGGAACATGCTTAGGTCATTAACTTGTTAGAAGTTTACAAAGGAGAACATCTAGCAGAGACCACTAACCACTCTCCTCTTCATACGCCTGAGATGAAGCGTGATCCTAAAAACCATTTACCTTCCTTCTGTCCATAGCTGCTGTTACAAGGGGCAGTTTGAAGCATCCACATACTCAGGGTAGCAGCAAAATAGCCGTCTAGTCTGTAGGGCACCTTTAGTTCGAGGAAAGTCACTGCCATCCAACAGAACCCAAGAGCAGGATCTGCAGCGGTTGATTTTCTATCTGCTTCTATCCCTTGTGCTGAGCAAGGGGAGGGGAGGGAAGCAAATCCATACGCTGATTAAGGAGGCTCAGCAAAACTGCGGAAGAGGATATTGCCCTCCCTTCCACAGGCCAGATCAGACTACAAAGGGAAGTGGTCTCCAATCCTCCTGGCTCAGCCAAAACACAGGAACTGCCACATCTCTCAAGATTATACCCGATGTTAATTAACATGATGAGAACAGACCCTCTTAGCAAGGATATGTCAGGAATTTAGATGCTCAGCAGGTGACTGAAAGCACTACAGAAGTTTCAGATATTGAGCAATCCAAAGTTAAATGTAGTCTAATTTAGTGGTCCTTCTTTGTACCTACTTTTTTTCTCTCCATAAAAGTACTTGGTAATTATACCTTACAGCACAAGTGACTAATACCTGCCAAAATATTAGTTGAGAATCTGAGATGAAAGTTGCTTTGGAGGTACCATTTACACTATTTGTATTGTGACTAATAATCCAAGTTTAATTAGTGAAAACTTTTTTCCTTTAAATACAAAATATCCTCGAGGATGTTAGGCAAACTGTGCAAATGTTTATTATCCACAGTTCTCAAAGCCATCAAATCATAAAATTGAGGTTACCCCATCTTCAAAATCTAAACTTATCCTGTCTTCTGAAGGATCAGAAAGTAAAAAGAAAATCTACATTAAAAATTGCTGCAAAATACAATACAAATAAGATATTATAGGTATATAATTACTTCCACAGAGCAGCGACATAAAAGGTAATTTTATAGTGCTCCCAAATTACAGTGGCTCCCCAAGCTGCTCCACTTATAAACAGCACTTTCATTCTAAGACAATGATTGAATTAGTAAACACACAACGGTCCCAATGCCTCCTATGCTGAACTATCTTGGTTGCCCAAGCTCAATTTTACATGCAAAAATTAGAATAGAACATGCCCAAGGACAAGTGTAACACTGGTCAACCAGGACAGGCAACACCAGACAACCATTAAAGGGAAGGCAAATTTACAGCTCATCTTGTATTAATGACATCTATATTAAACAAACACACTTAAAAGCCCTGTATCCTCCCTTAAAACATACAAACATCTATGTGGGCCTTCAACAAATTGCGTAGTTTGAAAATGTGCCCTTTGGGTACAAAAATACAATAAAAATATCCCTTACCTGATGACTGGGTCCAACTCTGATTTCACCTTGGGTACTGTTTAACCTCCTAGCATGGGGAAAAGGGAAAAAAAAAGCAGCAAAGAATAAGAATTACAACATTTAGGATAATTCTGCATGATTCACCATTGTGTTTCTAATGCAAGTGGAAGAGAAGCAAGAATTCACTAAAAATATCTATCCCCAAGCATGACTTGTCCTCCCAGCACCAGGCAGCCGGGATCAGGACATGCATCTACCTTCTTTTTGCTCATTTAGATCCCATACACCACAGTTCAATGTTCTCATCAAAATCCTTTAAGTCTCTGCACTCCTCTGAACTGCTCTCTGCTTCAGTCGGCCAACTGGAAACCTGCCACGTGCACAGAGACACCCTCTAATACTTGACTTTTTAGAGCTATATTCTACTTGGTGTGCATTTCAACAGTTAATGAAACAACTGCAGTCAAGTGACTTTGGATATCGCATCCAAAAGCAGCTCTCTCTAATGATAAAAAGTTAAACGAATGCTTGCTGGGGCTATTCATTTGCTAAGACCTCAGAGAACATCACAGAAACATGGAAAATCTAAAAGCAAGAAAACATGCCCTGTAATGTTTGGTTAAAAAGAAGCAGAAGAAGATTTGATTGATCCGATTCACATTTAAGTGAGTCTCAACCCACTGGTGAGAAAGCGGGCACAAACTCAACATACTGCCTTGAATTAAGCAACAGCAACCTGGAATTAATTGTCCAAGTTGCTGTTGCAGAAATAGTGACATCTATTTACAAGCAAGTTGCTGCCTTGTAGGGTTTCTTACGATCTCTGTCAACACAGCAGGGTGATGAAGAGAAATCATTTCCTTTAACCTTAAAATCACAGAATCAAGCCTGTTAGTCCTGTGCTAAACCAGCAACAGGCAACTCAAACGCCACAGATACCACTAGAAATTGCAAGGGGATTACTGTGCTTGCTGGAGGTTTTCTGAGGTGGTCATTTGCACTTTTATGAGCATTTCCATTTCACATTTCAAAGTATGCTGCAAATATGTAATATATTAACCTTTATCTTGCTGTCAATTCTGAAAACGTTATGCATTGTTGTTGCATAAGGGGAGAAACTTCATCAATTGACACTGAAAGGACTTGATCCAGAGCAGGAGGACCTGCCAGACAGGAATAAAAACTGGTTCTGCAAAGACCCAATTCTTGTGTTCCAACATCTGAACAGTGTTGCCTTCCTAGGAAGCAGATATGTATTCAATAACATGCACCAGAAGTCTCCAAAAAGAATGAGAACATGTCAAAATGTTTCTCTCTCCTAATGGATACTTCTAAGATACGACCTGACACTATTCTCTTGTTTTCAAGTTACAGGGAAAATGACTGAACTAGAAAACAAGGTTTATATTTACAGAGTTGAAGTGAAATATTATGATACATTCTTGAACTATGAGTAGTTCGAATTTTTCCATAGTAAGGAATGGAGGATCTCTTCAGGTTTTCCACTTAAAAATTATATGAGCCAATAACATTTTCATACACATCAAAACTTTGCTTATGCAAACCTAGAACACTCTGCACTAGTGTGACTACTAATCTTTTAATAAATGTTAAGCAAAATAAACTGCATTCAAAGTATTCCCCAGTTCATGATCCCTTAACTTGCATCACACTCTTCATGAAAAATAAAACATTTTATCCAAGAATCCAAAACTGCACGTGCTGCTGCATCCTATAAATAATTGCAATTGCAATAACGGACATAGGCTCTTGCCTGCATTCACGTGCAATTAGCTGGGGGAAAACAGTAAGGCTAATTTTAACATTATATTTAATTTACATGTGAAGAATAAAGAGCAAAATAAATCTCTGCACCTTTTCATCACTTGTTTACCGTTCCGTGCCCAGGCCAGAGGAAGTAACTGGATGGATTAAATAGTGTGTGTGGAGGGGACAGAAAGCCCTTTCAGGGATGTCAAAGGCACCAAGCGGATGCTCTGCAAGGGCACCCAGTCCCTCCACCGCTTTTGAGAGAGATTCCACCTCCCCAGGAACGGGTTGCGAACGGAAAGAAAACGCCTCGCTATGGAAACTCGACCGCTTGGCAGACGTCTGAGCTCAATTATACGGGCGGAAAGCAATTACGGCCATAATGGAAAGGCGCTCGCTGTTTATTCTGCGGGAAAAGGGGGAAAAGAGGAGCCAACGCCGAAGACGAAATCCGACACAAAAGGAACCCGTGTAACAAAGCGGTATCCATAGCAACAACAACTCCATATTCCAGCCCCTCTTCGGCTGCGGCGGATTCAACGCCGTGACAAGATGTTCCCGGGGAGAAGTAACCCGTTGCCATGGCAACGGCGTAGCCGGCAACGCAAACAGGGCCCGGGCGCAGAGGAGAGGAGAGGAGAGGGCGGCCGGAGGCTGCGGAGCAGGAAGGCCGGGAGCGCCCGCGGGCGGCAACGCGGGGCTCGTTCCCCAGGGCCGATGGTGGGGTCGACAGAGCGTCATCCTTCCCGCTCGGAAGCCATAGGGGCAGCTGGAGGTTCAAGGGAAAAGCGGCATTGCAGAGGGAGCAGCTCGGGCGAGGAGGAGGCAGGAAGAGGTGCAGGGTGGTGCTGAGCTTTACTTTAGGCGGGGCCCTTATTGAAGGCAGGGATCACACGTTCCAGGTATCATCTCAGAGACCGTGAAACTGCTTCTTTCGTGTTTTCCTTTCCACCCAACTCACCAAGGAACATCCTCTGCAGTAACTGCCCCTCTTCTCCTGCTGCCTTACCTGCCTAAGAGAAGGGGCGAAGGTGGCGGTCCCACCGCAGCGTCCTGTTCAACCACGTCCACCACGTTCACGTCGCCCAACGGGGGACAGGCAGCTTTGCTTCTGTCCCTGCCCCTCCGAACGCTGCCCTCCCGCTCGAGCACACAAGTACCCGCTGCTGCTCCCCAGCTGCGAGGAGCCCTGCACGGCCAGGGCAGCGTTCACCTTGCCAACCAGCCTCCATTCTGGAGAGCGAGGCATTCTCACGGACAGAAAAGTCACTATTTGGAGGCCTAGGTTAAACACAAACTGATCAGGCTTCACAAGAAACTTTCTTTAGACAGATCAGATGATAGATTGCAATCTTGCCATTTACAGCGATGCAGTTAAAAAGGTCACTGTCACCGCAAGACGATCAGTCACATGGAACCAAAACTATTGAAAGTATCTTGTATAAAAATAGAAAACTTCTCCAGAAACAGTTGTAAAAACATATTACAAGGATCATTCTTCCCAAATTTTGCTAGAGAAGCAAAGTTAGAAGAGAATTATTCCATTCCCACTTCATATAGTTAAAGAATAGCTCGTTGGGGTCTCAAGAATGACTGGCATCATATTTAAGCGGTGAAATTAGCAGGACATCACTCCTTGCACTCCACAAAGCAAAATCCAGGACTTCCCACGTTCCCACCACACAACACCGGCTCCGCTGTGACCCTTTAACTATATAAAGGCCCTGAGCTTTAGTATTTACTGCTCCACATGGCCAACGGGGACACAGTGTTTCACCACTATAGTGCGAAACAGACTGCCCACATACAGCGAAATTTCATCTTGACCGCCCTGCTCATACATGGACCTCACTGCACTTTCTCACACTCTGTGGAGAGGTTTACTGAGCCAAATGGATCTTAGTCAGGCTTAACAATAGTATTTTTATGCATGTTATGTTTTTATACTATGCAGTTCAAGAAGAAAAGGGATAGTCAGATTCAGCCATTCAATATTTGAAGAAAACCAAAAAATCTGCAGAGTGTTAGATGTCTAAGAGCAACAGAAGCTGCAATTCTTGCTTAAAGACAACAGGTTACAGTCATATCATCTTATCTTCCATCATTTCAGGACCCCAGACGAAACGATGGCTTGGTAAATTGTTCTAACACTTACTTCCTACCACCAAAACCTTGGATACTCCAAGTTACCCAACTCCTTTTTTTTTTTTTTTTTTTTTTTTTTTTTTTTTTTTTTTTTTTTTTTTTGGGGGGGGCAAAGAATTTACAAGAATTTACAAAAATTTTGATGCTCAGAAAGTAAAATTAGAAGCTGGCCATCAATCAGGACAGCAGGTTGGTTTATCACCTGTTATAGTGCAGAACACTATAGTAAAAAAAGAAAAAGAGAGAAAAAAGAAATCATAATAATAAAAAAAGGAAACATAAGCAATTTTGTCCTCCAAGCGGATAATCAAACCTGTGCTTCCTTAATAAGAAACTAAATAAACTTACATGGGAACGTTTCTGGTGCTTACTTAATCTAGAGCAAGAAGGAAGAGCCGAGTACCAACATCTGCAGCGCCAGCACAAGCTCCAACGTGCCGGGCGGCTGCAGCCAGAGCCGCAGGGAAGCGACAGGCTCGGCGCTCTCCACATCCCGCCTGCTATCGGGAGGAGGAAGCACTTGCACGAGCTGGAGTCCAACAGGAAAAGCTCTTCCAAGATAACGTTCGTATTTACCAGATGCATTCTGCACCAGGTTTATATTCCAGAAAAAAGGCTGCATAATCCTAAAGATACCTAAAGGTAGAAGGGAACTGATTCCAGCAGAGCCGTTCTGAGAAGGAGTTAGCCCCAGCAGCACCATTTCTTCAGCATGAGCACAGGGCATTAGGGAAGCGAAAGCGGGCAGCTGTTTCACAGTTGTTTTATTCCCCAGGGAGGTGCCGGTGGGCTGGGCTCCCCGGCCTGCCGGGCTCCTGGGTGCACACACAGCATCCGCGGGGTGCGAGGGTGCTAAGCGAGTCTCGAGCACGCGGCTGCCACGCTGACCACACCGCTCCGGCCGCGACTAGCTACGGCTCAGCCCGCGGCACAGAAGCGGCCCTGGAAATCCTGCGGACCTAACAAGTCCCAAAGCAACAGAAATCAAACCAGCAGGTCCTACCTCCCAGCCCGCAGGCACCGAGGCGCCTACACGCCAGTGCGCTCCCAGGCACACTGCTTGGCAGCACTTGGTGCTGCCTCTTGTGCTGGTTCGCCTTTGCCACATGTGCCGCTTTAGTCTGACAGGCAGTTTGGGGTTGCTCTGCCCCA